GATATCTATTAGATGCTATTAGCTCAAAATGTCAAATTATTCATGTCCTCAAATAAGGCCAGAATTTTAAGTTTGTCCATGATACACAGAATCGCTTTTTGCCAATTAAATCAGATCCAAGTCACGACAAGGCATAAATGAGCTCAGATGAATTTAAAGTTATTGTAAAGAAAAAAAGGGGGACATGAAAGACGTATTTGAACTTTCTTCATACCTCTGCAGTGTAAAAGAGCTGAAAAATAGTTCTTGATTTGTTTGTGTTCATTTTGCATGCACTATGCCTACACTTTGTCTTTGAATGTGAGCCTCCCGCTTTCAAGCTTAATCACCTCCTTCCACAAGAAAAATGTTTCAACTATTCTATTTGGCTTCAACATTTATAGAAAGTCTTTATCAATTTTTCTTCTTGTGCAAACTCACAAAAAGGCCTGATCTTTTCATCAAACAAGGAGAAAAAATAGAATACTATAAACTGAAATAAGCCTTTAAGGGGGCTGTGTTTTAAACACAGTTAGGATTCAGTATTGTTTTACACCGAGAGTAAAAAGTACAAATCTGTATAGTCATTGTTTAATTTCATACGAGCCACAAATGACAATGCAGTCTGGGCAAGCAGTGAGTGAGTGAGTCAAAGCAGCAGTGTGGGTTTTTGTTTGTTTTACAATAGTAATTTGAATGATATACAGTCATATTATCTTTCTATGAAAGTTACATCTAGTCTTGAAGTGAAAATTTGCAACTAACTTACAAATGTTCCATCAGACTCTTAAAAGAGAACCTGCAGTGACTGAAAAACGTACGTGAATTTGCAAAAACCATGGACACTTTCTACAAGATCAATGTTTGGCAGAGCTGAGTAACTAATTAATCATGGCTATTACTTAGGAGTGGGACTTGAACTTGAACTGACAGAAGATGAAGATTTTAGCAAGTTGAAAGTTTTTTTTTTGTTTTTTTTTAACTACTTAAAGTGTCATCAGTGGTCTTTAAGTTGTGATATGAAGTTTTTAGCCAAAATCATATTACCTGTAATTTTCAAGGGTTTTTCTTCTGCAGAGCTCAAGTAGCTCATTAGCAATTCACCTCTGAGTCGTGGACAGAGACAGCGCAGCTCTGCACACTCTTCTTCATGCTAGCTTGCAGCCTAACATTGCTGATGTAGTAGAAAAGGCAGGTAACATAGGGGCTAATCAGCTCTCAGACACTAATGTTTTTGGGGACATGATTAAAGCTAATATCATAATTAGCTTTCTTACGAGCATTGCAATCTGCTAATGCACACGCTTGCTCAGCGATTGTCCTCTCTACTTTTCCGAGTCTGGCCTGCATAGCGAGGCACCGATGACGTGGTTGTGACGTAGGAAATCTCACTGTGTCTGAGCCTGCTGTTTGGGTCTGCCAGAGATTCATAGCGGTGGAAATCCAGAAATACTCAGAAATGTAATTTTGCACTTACTTTTCTTGTGATATGTCCTGTAGCATCAGAAAAATGCCACATGAACAAAAAAAAAAAAACAAGAAAAACAGGATTTTCATCTGGGTGGGTCTTTAAGCAGTGTGTTTCTTTCTGTTTAAATTGTTTAAATGTACTCAAACTGCATTTTCTTGGACTTTAAACCAAATATATGCCTATGAGAGCAGTTATCAATGATTGGGGGGTTGAGATTGAAATTTAGGAGGCCTTACTGATGGAGGATTATGAATTTGGACTTTAGTTAACATTGAATTTAGGTCAAATTAAAAAAGAGAAAAATAATTTCTATCGTGAACTAGTTTATTTTTATTTGTATGCTACCCAGCAGTGTGAATTTGCACAACACTGATACAAAGAAGTTGCATAAGCTCAAACACATGGTCCTTAAATGTCATTAGAATGATATATATATATATATATATATATATATATATATATATATATATATATATATATAGCAGGCTCTGACTTTATTGACATGCATTTATGGAAGAAAATGAGAAAGAGTCACAGAGGTGGGGAGGATCAGTACTGATGGTAAACTTATTAGCAGGTAAGTCATCAAGTTACTACAGCGCCCATCAACTCACTCGGCCTGTTACTGGAATGCATTGCTTGTATTTTAGGTGACAGATTAAATGCACAATGTGGGAAATAAGATAAATCTAAAATGTCAGACAATCCACCTAAAAAGACTTTGTCTGGGCATCATCCCATTAACAAAAGAAAACCTGTACTTGTCTGAGTTCTTGTTATCTGTGATGTATCTCAGCTCATCATTGTCTCATCTTTATCGTGGGAAAAAGCGTCTTTTTTTTTTTTTTAAATCAATGCCAAAGAAGACAGTATTCATACAAACTTTACAAGGTGATTATGTTAGATTTTCTCTAAGCTTCTTTAACTCGATTAAAGTGATCTAGATTTTAAAGAAAGGACATTTCTGTTCTTTTAAACTGGCTTTCACTGTCAGGTAATGAGCCATCATGATTTACATTGCCAAAGACATGTGCTTAATGGACTTACTGTGGTTTATGATATAAACTTTTGTACATACGTTAGCACACATGTGAGTGAACAGGGTGCATCTGGCTGTCTATGATATTTCACATTTCCATCCAGGCAGAGAGTAAGTAGGCTGGCACCTAATGAGCCGATTACTGGGAGCAGCATATGGCGTGTTCTGTACGGTTCTCTTGGCTCCACCATTAGTGCTGATGAGAGCGGGGAGAGATGCAGAGAGTGGGTGGGTCAGTCTGGGGAGGAAATGCAAAGATATGTGTGTACAATGACACACAAAGATGTTTACACAATCTCAGAGGGAGGGAATGTGCAAAAACAGAGGGCGCAAAATCCTCCAGCTGCATGTTCAGGGTTTTTCCATTCCATAGCATGTTATTATGAAATTCCAGCAAGTTCACTTCAGATGAGGGAAAGATATGGCATAGTGTACGAAGAGGTATTTTTTAATTAATGAGGGAAAGCTTAGAAAAGACTGGAAAAAGGTCATAGACTTTCAGCAATTCTGAAGCAATTTTAGGCTCTCCAAAGTGCAAATTTTTAATTGTTTACATGGAGTGATACCCCTTAGGAACTTCTTGTTGGTTTCCTTTTGTTGTTTCCATGTGTGCCTCCCTGCAGGTTTCTAGTGGGGAGGGTTTTGCTGCACTTAAGAATAACTGGCCACCCTCCCAGGTGAATAAAAGATCAGTCATTAAGTCCACCTGCTCTCTCTCTCTCTCTCTCTCTCTCTCTCTCTCTCTCTCTCTCTCTCTCTCTCTCTCTCTCTCCTTCAGGAGGGATGGCTGAAAGTGATGTTGAAACATTACCACTAGGCCTCACAACTCTGTCAGGTGACATTGTAGATATTTGTTGTACAGTCTGTGGGCGTAATAGTGGCCAAAGGGTCCCACCTTGAAATCACAGTATGTCAGCACTTTCTTGCTCTCTTCCTTAAATTATATGATTATAGGACTCTGAAACTTTCTTACAACCACCCTGTTTCTTGTACATAAGGTTTCATTTAAAAATAAATGAAAAATAATGCTGTGTCATTCGCGAGCAATTTGTTTAAAAGAGACAAATCTTTAAAGTGAACATACTGAACCGAATCACTTCCTCAAGTGATTTGTTCATTTCTCACTTCAGTTCAGCTGTCAGCAGCGCAGCTGCTATAGCACGCAGCATTGCCAGGCAAGCAGGCAGCGAACAAGGGACCACATGCACCAACTGGAATCATTTTTGTTGGACAAAATTAACTTTTTTTTTTTTAATTTCACTCAACAAGAATCACATGCTGAGCCCAATTTACCGAACAGACCTGATAAAAAGCATACCATAACATAGTACACTTTAAACATCATGGGCTCTATTTTTGTGCCTCACCAGAGACGTGCCGCAGGCTCGGCATAAGTCAGGTCCGCCGCGCCGACAAGGCGTTCCCAAGCACAATGTGGTATTTTGGTGAGCAGCGCAGCCCAGCATAAGTATCCCCCCTCCCTAACTCAGCTCCTCCCAGCGGCGTAAGTTGTAGCGAGGGAGGAGAGAGGGCGTGGAGTTGGTTTAACACAACCGAGACCTGTTTTCACCAATCACATAAGCTCCTCTCCTTGCCTTTAAATCCGCCACAGGTGAGGCGTATTACTATTTTCATGAAGTACTCAAAGAGATCAAGAGATGTCTTAAGACAGTAATTCCACACGATGGCGACAGAAGGCAGCCCCTCAACAAGTGTCACTGTAAGCGCTGCATTGGGCGTCCTCCACACTCTCTCATATGAGCACAGATGGATTTGGTGTGTGTAATGTTGGACCCACTGGTAAGAAAAACACCCTTTTCCACAAATAAAGACACTCACATAAAGTTGCTCATATTCAAACCTCACGTGACAAAAGTGGGTTGTGCGCACAGATCACAACATAAACTCCAATAATGGCATTAAAATCTGAACCACCTGTGCGTAAATGACGCATCGCGCTCCGTGGCCTGGCTCTTTCTTTCATAGATGCTGGCATATAAAATAAATTTGCCTCACAAAACTGAATATTATAATATCCGTATGTCGGCTTAAAGTAGATAACGTATCTGAGCACTGAAACAAATCATCTGTTCAGCCGCAGCTGCGGCAGGACGGAGAGAAGATATGGAGACGTGTCCAGGTCGAGCTGCGCGAGAAATAAGAGGAAGAGGAAGAAAGAAAAGGAGGGAGACGAATTACATATCTTGTTAACTTCATTGTGTGTGTCTATTTACTAGATATTTAATTTAATTTAATGCGGTTTCAGCTGTGTTGATTCGGTCAGGTTATGTGTCCAAATGCGTGCCAAACGCGCTCATCAGATCAGATATAGATCAGAATATATCGATATAGATCTAAATGTATGTGCTGACTCAGATTAATAGTTGTTGATGATTATTTATTGCACTGAAATGTGCCTGATACTGTGGAAACCTGCCGGTGAGGCATCGGTGACGTATGCCGATACGCCGCCGGTCTACCAAAATACAACTAGACCAGCTGTGCTCTGCCTGCGCTGAAAGCTGACCAGGTTTGAATCAATGAGCTTTCAGCGCACTTTACACGCCACTGGCGAGCCCTAACCCTAACCCCATGACTTATAAACAAGTTCGTTTTTACAAACGTTACAAACTTTATTTTACAAACTGAATCCTGAACCATTAAGCTGTGTATCAGTTCTAGAGGTCGGAGTGACAGGTTTCTCCTGTCAAGTGCTAAATGTTTTGTGAACAAATCATTTGAACAAATCTTTTTAGTGAACTGATTCTAATGATTCAGTACATCTAAAAGAACTGCCGTGCCCATCAAAAGCTTGATAGGCACGGCAGTGGGGGGGTACCATTAAAAGTTGGATAGCCACTCAGATCTCAGCCGTTAAAAAGCAATTAAGTGACCCGTTCCTCAACTTAAACAGAAAAGAAACTTATTGAGTTGAAAATTCAAATCTGAAAGTTTGAAAAAAAATCTTAATTTTTGCAGCATTAAAACATTAGTTTTGGTCATCTTTAATAGTTTATGATCGATAGAATTCTTATGATGAATAATTTTTTATAATCTGTAGACTGCTGACAGAATGATTCAGGAAGTGTGCAGATCAGTTGGGGAACTTTTGAGCTCACTAAATTTGCATGAATTTACTTTCAAAGAACTGGTGAACCTTCAAAGATTCAAAGCAAAAGTTTGACATCAGCCATTTTATGAGATTCTCTTGGTTTATAAAATATCCTAATTCAATCCAAAACTTTGTAATTATAGGCATTAAATCTTAAAAGTTTCTTAAGTGTTGCACTCTGTGAAAATGGTACAAAGATGGACAGAAATTAAGCTGTTGAGACTGCTGGATAACGACTGTAATCCAAGTGGAAATAAACTTTTGACTGTGCATTTACCAGTGGGGGTATAACTGTGCACAAACTGCACAATTCAAATATCCAGACGTATTCTTAAGACTGAAATTTAAACTGCACATGCAGAAAAGGGCGATTACTATGAGGCAATGCTCTCTTGATAATAGATCGGCTTTATCAATACTTAACCCTGCCGATTAAGAGGCCCCTTGTTTTGGCCCACTGTATTCTAACCCCGTAAAGAATATCCAGATTTCGATTTAAGCCTTTGAGAAAGCATTTCTAAGATGGAAGTCATGGATGTAGGTCACATATTGCCACAGCAAACCACATCATAACCTATGTGTGACTCCCTGGTGGTCTAGCGGTCAGGATTCAGCACTCTCACTGCAGAGGCCTTGGTTCTATTCCTGGTTAGGGAACATGTTCTTTGAACATTTGTTGCCCTGTCTTTATAGTTAGGCTAGACCATGAGTGGATGTTTGCCAGCACACCACCAGCTTAAGCTTTTTTTTTCTTTCTTTTTTTTCTTACAGTTTTACAGATGGGTACAACGGTAAAGAGTAAGATGTATTTATGCAACCTATAGATGCAGGTTTGGAAAAAACAATAATTATCTATGTAAACTTGTTAATAAAGCCTTTCTCACGACTTAACCTTGCAGGTTAACAGGCCCCTTATTTTGCACACTGTATTGTAAACTTCCCAAAAAAAAGATTCATATCCACACTAAAGCCTTTAAAACAACAGCTTTAAATCAACCTCATTTGGCTGCATACACTCAAATGGAAGTCATGGATGCTCCACTGGTCACATATTGTGAAAACAACTTACTTCCGTAGCCATTCCTAATGGTCTAGTCAGTGGTTAGGCTTTGGCGCTCTTGCCGCTTTGGCCCAGGTTCAATTCCCGGTTAGGGAACTTTCCATTTGATAACCTTGGCATGATTCGCCAGGGGGGAAAACATGCGCATCGCTCTTAATTAGAATCATTGCTGGGAATTTCACTCATTAGTACCAGGGCAAATAGCAAGACGGTTATGCAACCTTTAAAGCATCAAAGTCTATTGACTTTTTACAGTACAGGTTATGAGAAAGACAAAAGAAGAACATGTTTTTGCTATGCAGATCGCACTGTTTCCTTATAACAGCTGAGATCCAAGCAGAGGTCCAACTGTGCATGCACTTATAAAGGTTAAAGGTTCAAACATGATGGACCTTAATTTGATCTAGAATCAAAGGGAACAGGTTGAGATTGGACCTTTGTGAAGTTTTAAGAAAACACCTCAGTTTGTAAACAGCTGTGGTATAAACAAAGACTAATGAATAAATCAGATTATGTCATCTGACGTAAATGAAAAGCTTGTATAAATCAGTGTCCATGATCATAACGTTTGAACAATTTAACCAAGTTATTTAAGACACATTTACCAAGATCAATATAAAACATGTAAATAATCACAGTTTTGCCCAGACAGAGGCATCAAAGGTTAAACTGATTAGACAGCCCAGCAGCCCATGACAGAAATACACTCATAATGTCACAAAGGAAGCACAGGGACTAGATTAAGTGCAGCAGACCCTGAGAGGATCTCTGCCCACAGCATCTTCTGACCACTCAGCCACACCAGCCAGACCAACAGCACCTCCAGCAGTGCATTGCCCCAGGAGGATACAAAAAGAACTGGGGTGAGAGTAAAGTTGGAGCAGATCCAGATTTGTTTCCATATTGTAGGTTTACACAAACTAAGAAGTCTCCATGGTATATTGTTGCATAGCAGTAAACACTGTAGTTATTATGAAAGATATGTCCTAGTTTCGACCTCAGCGTGTGTCCTTCTCACTCCGGGTGAATCTGCTTCTGATATGAGAACTATCAGAGAACTAACCAAAACAACCAAGAAACAGGTCAAAAGGTCAAAGCGGAAACAATCACTAATATTTTGTTGTACTTTCACAATGACAATAAAGAGGTTCTAATTTTAACTGTTTATGTCACAAGAAAGCATGTACCTTTTAGCTCATGAGCTGTGTAAGCAGGGTATAAATGTGAATATTAAAGGCAATTTGATTTTTGCACCTGGCCCTTAACAAGACACATAAGAGGTCACTTATTACACTTATTAACAGTCCCTGTTAACTTACAAAAAAGCTACAATTAAATAACTGCAATCAAATTGCCATCTAAACAGCCTGGGTCCTTGAGGCTTTAGGTCCACTGACCGTAATCCATTTGTGACTGAATGAAAAAGATGTTTCAGAGGAGCAAAGTCCTTAGTCGTATATTATTTCAAAGTCCTAATTTTTCTCTGAGTGAATTAAAAGGATTAAAAGTATTTTCCATGTATCATGAAGTCTTCGCTTTACTCTGAATCTCCACGTTTGAAGAGTGGCCTTAACATCTCCCACGAGCGCTCGACAGAACTTTGAAATATTTGGACTTTAATAATAAAATAATCCAAAATGAGAAGCCTTTTTATTAGTGCATAATTCAAACTCATTGATTATTTATCCAAGCAGCTGGGGGCCGACTGCAGTCTGAAAGGTTATAAAGCAATATCCCTGCAACAGAAATAACCCAGATGTAGGAAGGAGGATTAAATTCTAGATTCTAAAGAGGCCACTGAGGATTTAAGCTGGATGTACTTTCTGTTCTTTATGTCATGTAATGTCATGATGACTTAGTCCCTGTCTTATTGCTCTGCTTTGTCTTGACTGAATAAAAACCCACTGTTGTTTTGGCCTTCATCTTTAGACAGTCTTTTTCTGCCTGAGCTGCAGTATCTCGCTATTCCTTTATTTTTTTTCATTAAAAATTCATTAAGGTCAGTCTACATATTGTTTTTGTAAGCTGTGATAATTACTGTTGGATCCGACGATCACAGAGACACACATTTGAGCAGTGAGTTGACCAAGAGATGTGACAAACTACACCACCAGTTATCATGACTGACATGATGCCAGTCAAAGAAGAACAGGAGCAGGGCATGACAATACCTGATGGCAGTTACTACCTGCACTGCTGAATTGTGTCAACACTTTTTACTCACATTATAATGGACAGAGTGAATACTCAGCCATCCACATCTAAGGATTTCTGATTGTGAATATCGAACCTGTGTAATATTTATAATTCCAAGCTGGGGCAGTTTTGAAAATAACACTTTTTAGACACCTCACACCATGGGATAATCTGAGAAGATAATCCTACGAACCAACTGCTTTAGTGCAAAGAATACAGCGCCTCATGTAAAAGTATGGACCAGACAAGGTTACTTTCTCACAACTAGACCAGTCATTTTCAAATTTGTAATAATCATAATCACACACCCATCATATCCATAAAGCCTGTCATTTGCCTTTCAAATTAAAACTTTTGCACATAAGCTACAACTAAGGAGAGAAATTGTGATAGATGTAACATTTGTCAGAAGTGATGAATGTACCATACAACTCTGGATGTTACTCAGTAAGATACCATCATGTTAAAAAATGAGATACAGATTTAAAATCATGAAGAGAACCTCTCCTTGGCTGCATAGAAAATTAAAATCAACAACAATATTTGTCAGAAAATTTTCAAAGTTAAAAGTAAATACTCTTTCATAAATTGTACAACTATGATCATATTTGCTATGTTGTTGACAATTTTAACCTTTGTTCTGTTTTATATTATTTTTGTTAACTTTTTATGAGGTAAAACATATACGTATGTGTGTGTGTGTGTGATATTTTTACCTATAAATACTTTTTTTCTCAACCAACAATTGTGTGAACACTGTAATTTTTGTTCATGATATTTTCCAAACAAATCATTACACAGTTTATCATTGACACTTTTGTATCTTTCTGTGTGTCACCATGAAGAAATTCTAAATTGTCAAACCACCTGTTCATTTTACTTTATCCTGCTCATTACACCAACTAAAGACAAAATATTGATTTGTTTACAATTTACTAGTTCAAAAGTGATTGAATGATGTTTTAAAAAGTCCAGAATCCACAGTTGGTTACCTAGGCAACAGACTGTTATCATGCCATTTGGGGATAAAACTCCACTGAGGTGTCAGTGAAACTCTTGAAATGTTTGACATTTCGACATGTTGGATCACTCCCATGTCAAAGAAACTGTCAGAGCCATGTGAGCTGCCCTTTGGATGACAGCTTTATATACTGTATCATCAAGATATTACAAAGTGCATGCTACATTAATTGCTTTGCATTTTCTCCTTCCTCCATTTTGAGCGCTCACATAGAAATGCTCCACATTGCATATTCATCAAGACAAACCTGCTCAATAAACAACGCCCGCTATCTTTCACATTTGAGAGACACAATCCACACTGCGTACTGTTAGTAGATCAGCTTGTGTGATTTTTACAAGTGGTCTGAAATTTGCACATTTTTAAACGTGCCAACTTTCAGTAAATCAGGCCCTGATACTTTATAGCTGACCTTATAGGGTAATGTAACAGGGTTTATATGGTTTGCTGTTCCACTTGCATGATGTAGGATTTGTGTACTTTGTACAATTATGTGTATTAGTGTTGCTACTAATACTTAATGGTCTCATGCATTCACTGCAATGTGTTCGTAGACTTGTATGTGACTTGCCTGAGCGCATCTCTGTAAAGGCCAACTTTTATGACAGACCAGAACTTATTCTGTTCTTGTTCAGATGATAAACTGAAACAAATACAGACAGACAAGCCCCCCCGTGTATCTTTAAAAACACAACGCAGATTTCAAGACATCACACAGATTCAAGGGGTTAGGGCTTAATGCTTCCTTTTCTTCTGCACTGAAACATCTTTTTAAATCTAAATATAACCACTGCTTTAGAGGAAAAGTTTCCCTATCACAGTACAGGGATTTAAATAAGGGATCAGTGTTAGTGCATGGACACAGCTCGCTCCAGGATCCGATAGAAAGACATTTTTCAAAACCCCCAAAAAGCCTTCAGTCACCTCTGTCCCATAAAACCAAAAAACAGCCTTCAGCCTTTTTTGTCCCCTCAATGTTTTTGATCATATTTGTCCCTGAAGTGTCTTTCAGCAAGGCTCTGTAGATTGTTTTTTAACAGAGAAACAGTGGTGGCAGATAGTACAGGGAGATGTCAGACACAATGCTGGCTCTTTCACTTTTTTTTCTGACTACCACAAAAACTAAGTTTTGGAGCAATTAGAAGTTAGTTTTGATGTTAGAGACATTTTGCACATGTGAATACAGGCAGATACATACAGTGTTGGAAAAAAGTTTGGAATATTTTCTTCAGTGTTTCTATTCCTTAAGAGTATGCTTATTTTGCGCGGCTCACGGGAGTTTAGAGAAGCGTGTCTTAGCTCAAAATGTAGCTGAGATAATCCCCTTTCAGCGGGCATACAGAATTAGTGTCTGCTCCATCAGAGAAAAATAACATAAGCCCGATTACATGACACTCCCATTTTTGACCGACAAATCAGCGTCCACCACAATGGTTATAAAAGGGTGTCCACTTGTTTCCTGTGTCCCATTGCTCCTGATCTTTTTAGACAAGGTTCCTGTGACTATGAGACGTCAACTGAGTGCCGCAATCTGCAACCGTATCGTGGGCATGCGCCAAGCTGGAGCCAAACAGAATGCCATAGCCACTGCTCTGGGGATTACGCAGGGTGCAGTGTCCAAGATCCTGAAGCGACATCGACAGACAGGTGTGCCAACGCATAGACCCAGGTCTGGACGTCCCCGAAAAACCACAGTGAGGGAGGATCGTTATCTGCACAGGCTGTCTCGTACTGGGCATACAAAGACTTCCACCCAGCTGCGTAATGAATAGATGCGATTCACAAATACTCATGTCACGAGCCGGTTGGTACGCTACAGACTGTTGAACGTGGGTTGCGAGGAGACCAGTATGGAAACCTCTCCTGCAACGACGACACCGCCAAACCCGCTTAGGCTGGGCACATGACCACCTGAACTGGCAGGATGGACATTGGCGACACAGGGTGTTCAGTGACGAGTCTCGTTTCCTCCTTTACCGACACGATGGCCGCGTGAGGGTTCGCCGTCAGGCTCATGAGTCTCTGGCTGAAGGTTGTGTATTGCCCAGAGTGCAAGCTGGGGGCGGCGGGGTAACCGTTTGGGGTGCATTCCACAGTACCGCTAAATGTGACTTGCATGTCCTGGATGGTAACATGAACCAACACCGCTATTGCCGGATTCTGGAAAAATGCTCCCATTTGCTAGACAGCACTTCGGGGCAAACTTTGTGTACCAAGATGACAACGCCCCGCCTCACAGGACCCAGCTGATACGCGATTTTCTGGATCAAGAGGGTGTGGAACACATGGAGTGGCCAGCCATGTCCCCGGATATGAACCCGATCGAGAACCTGTGGGCTGAAGTTTCACGTGGGCTGAATAACGTGAATGATCCTCCAACAAACGTGGCTGAACTGACTCAGGCTGTGATCCAATGCTGGCGAGAAATCCCGGTAGAAACTCTTACCAACCTAGTGACCAGCATGCCCAGACGTGTACGCGCATTGTACAATGCTAGAGGCGGTCACACAAAGTACTGACTGTATTGTTGTTATCGTCTTGTTATGTTTGATGTTGCTTTCAAAGATGGTCCTTGATTTTGTGGCAATTTAAAATTACAGCTGTTTATTTATTAAATACCGACTCATGATTTTATGCGTTATTTCTATGGCTTTTTGTGAATCATAATGTGTCCGCCCTACAATTTTTTGAGAAACAAAATAGTTTGATGTGAATTTCAAAAACATATCACAGAGACCAGGGAACATTAAAAAGTCTTAAGAATAATTCTCCAGAAAGCAGCAGACCGCGTTAAACACGAGGCTGGGGTTGAATTGACAAATATTCCAAACTTTTTTCCAACACTGTACACCTACCCATTTTAATCTTACAAAGAAGTACAACTCTGTTATGTCTCCATTTACAGCAGTGTTTCTTGAAGTGTGGGACTCACCCTGCTGGTAGGGAATCGAGACATGACAGGTAGGGCGCGACAAACGGGAGGAAATTTTCAATTTCATGCCTTTCCCTTTAAATGCCTTTCTTTATTGACAATAAAGATTATTTATTGTAAACAAAACACCCACACACAAAATAATAACTAACAGCCTACATGTAGCTGAAATTAAAAAAATAATATTAAATTATTAGACAGCATTAAATAGACGACAGAAGAAAAATGTAACATGGAACCAAAGTGCAAAAAGGATGAATGACGTACAATGATTTATTATAATAATAATGCATCAGATTTTATAGCACTTTTTGTCAATGACCTCAGATTGCTTTGCATTGGATTCATCATTCATTTGCTCACATCCTAACACCCTGGTGGTGGTAGACTACCTAGGTAGTCACAGCTGCCCTGGGGCAGATTGATGGAAACGTGGCAGCCAGTTTGCGTCCACAGCCTCTTCAACCACCACCACACAACACTCACAGCGATACACCAGTGGAGGACACTCACACTCTGAGCAAAGTGGGTTAAGTGTCTTGCCCAAGGACACAACGTACAGACTAGGGATAGGGCGGGATTCGTACCATCAACCTTCCAGTTATTGACCTCTACCTCCTGAGCTACTGCCGCTCCATGCTGCCCACATTATGAAACATGATGTGACCTGGTTCCTGTTATTTCAGTTAATTTGACAATGTGTCATTTGTAAGGATTTTTGTTGGGGCTTGAAATGTTCCCCTTGTTTAAAGTGAGGAATAACAAAAAAAAGTTTGAGAACCACTGATTTACAGCATGTTTTCTTTTTGCCATTTTAGCAAATTTCATTGTTTATGCCAAAACACAACTATCCCTTTAAGGCAGTTTAAAGATCACTTGAAAGAGACAAGTAATGTGATGTTACACCTTGTTGCACCTTGTACCTTTACTTTGTGGATCAGGATTAGATCTCTGAAGGAGTTCCTGTAGTATAGCATCTCTCTTTGAAAACAATCTCTAGTAGCTCTGATGCTGTTGTTAGTCTTCCAAGTCAAGAGTCATTACCCGTCTAAAGACTGATTCAAGCCTTAGGAAGGAAACAAATGAGTGACCCCATCAGCACGATTAGTATTGTCCCTGTTTAAAAAGGTCTCACCATGACAGTTGTGCGTGTTGATGTGGCAGTCAAAATGTGGACGCTCGCCAACTGAACGCACATTTCAACACAATCGCCAACGGAGGCCTGTTCTAGTGGCATATAACATCAAAATCAGCATCCTGCTTTGTCAAAGTCACCTGTCGACACCAGCTTTTTGTGGAACAAACGCTTCTCCCAGTGTGTCACAACTTGAGATCTGTAGCGGGACAGCTGTGTTTTACTTGGTGCGGGGTTAGTCGGGTCACGCAGGCCTTTAGGCTTCAGTGGGAGAGGCTGGCTCTGCGTTTAATGAGCTTGGAGCAGACCCAGACTTTGGTCTCTTTCATCCCTGTAGCAGTCAGTGCAGCCAGTTAGCTCAGTGAAGCACGGAAAGACCCCTTTAACACACACACACACACACACACACATCGCCTCTCTTTCTTCACATCTCCTCTTCCACGGTCTCGCCGTCTCTGTACCTCTCTCTTTCTGTTCCTTTACCTGGTCCGGTTGTTTCTTCTGTCCAATCCGCTCAGCGTTCGCGTCCGCTATGATCGTGTGCACTTTAGCTCCCTTGCCTTCTGGCTGTCAATGCACTGCCTTGTTTCTTCCCCCGTCTGCTTCATTAGCTGCAGTTCTCTCTGTATCGGGACACTGGGACAGAAAAAAGGCACGGACACTCGGCACACACACAAGGGTTCCACTTGATTTGTCTCTAAAATATGTCACATGAGGAACAGAAAAGGTTGAAAATATTGGGCTTTGCCTCTGAAGGTGTCGTAGGTTGTAACCAGCAGACCGGATGATCTATTTGGGAAAGGTAATTACTCTTTCTTTCCTCAGCATTGACAAGCCCTTGACCGAAACACTTAATTGCCGTTGGAAATTCATTAGCTGCACAGATGCCAGCGGCTGTAGGAGTCCTTACAGGCTGTGTGAGTGTGTGTAACTCTGACTCTGCAGCCAGGCTGAGCTAAAGTATTTTGCTTTTTTAAGTTTCCACATAGAAGCACATGACAGGTGCTCAACTCCTCCATGAGATGAAGTGGGAACGGGAAAAACTCTTTGACAGAAAGCGAGGGATCAAAGAGCAGCAGAGAAAAAGTGAGGTAATTTTCCTCTGTCTAATAAGCATCAACCTCTCTACTTTTATTCATTTGAAGGAGACGACAGGGGCAGGGTGCTGGTGAGACGCTGTCACACTGATGTGCTTTTAAAGGGCTAAGGATCGTTGTTAGTGCCCAGATCAGGTGTCTCTCAGGCTGACTTGGGTCCAGGAGCAACTTGTGGTCTGATGTGGAGCCTGACTTCTGTGGTTACTGATGTATTTGTTAACCAAAAACAATTCTGCTATTTTGGACAAAAGGAAAATCAAGGACTGTCTTTGTTTCATTCTATTTCTGTGTTTGAGCATTTATCTCAAAAATGTGGAAAAATCTTTTAAAATCTTTGCAGCGGTAATAAAGTCACATTGCCTTCAGGTAGTAAATCCTACCAGCAGATTGAAGAGAACAGGAGGCAGGATGAGGGACTGATACTGTGTTTATCGTAGACTGTATAAAACATGAAAGTCCAATATCAGGGTTCATATGTAAATTTATTCTGGAAACTTTTTTTCTGTCCTGGTATCAAGATTGTAAGACTGTTAAAAACTGTAGTGTTTCACTCTCTTAACACTTGAACTTGTGTAATATATGGATTAATGACCTTAACCGGATGATTAGCTTTAAAGTCTGCTGCTGTGCTGACTCTGCTGATCCACTATAAGGTCATATGGAGGGATTATCCTTACTCCAAGTCAAACACTCCTTATGTGGCCAATATGACTACATTTACTTTTTTTTAATCTTTTACTTCTTTTTGTGGGAGTGGGGGGTCCAGACTCAGCCCCTCAAGACATGCCCCTGGTCAGACATGCTAGAGAGACACTCACTTCACTTCTTTCTCAGCCGCATCCTAACTTTTAGTGCTTTATAGTTTAAAAAAAAACAAAATATCAAATATGTAACTGAAATTGCTCAGTGGCTCGTTTTGTCTTTGTTATCAACATACATCAAGAAAATGGAGGAGAAGTTTGTGGACCTGTTGCAGTCAAAAGAGTATGTAAGTACTGCCCATCATCAATTCAGTCTCTTGCATTGCTTGTGTTTTGGGTGATGGGTAAAATGCACAGTCATTACATTATGATGAATTTTAAAGGTCTGACAGTTGACCCAAAACAATTTTGTCTTGTCATTATCTCATTATTAAAAACAAAACCTTTACTCATCAGAGTTTTTGTCATAAGCACTGTCTTCATCGTGGTTAAAAGGGTCATTTATGAACATTTATCACCCTCTAAACCAAGATCGCTAACTTTTCTTAAAAGCATTAGTTTTTGTCAGCAGACAGATGGGTGTTTTTTTTCACTGGAACTGACAAGGTGAAAGCCAGCTGATAGCACTTCAGACCGAAAGATGGCAGCCACAGCATAAAGGTCACATGACTAAAACTGGTCATATTACTCTAAATTACTACAGTTAATTAAAGATAGAAAAACATAATAATTCAAATTTTCTCAAAATACATTTACCCCAAACACTACCTCAGTGTGTCGTACAAACACTTTGCTCCTAATTAGTTTTCTATCAGGCTTTCTAAACTGGCTTCTTATACACTAGAGATTCATTTTGCTTACCACTAGTTTCTCTAGTTCCACCAATTTCAACAAAGATGGCAGGATA